GATCCATAGGCACATGAGTATTTGTTAAATTTGTAAAGAAAAAAAAAAAAAAAAAAAAAAAAAAAAAAAAAAGAGGCTGGGTTTTTCTGAAAAAAAAAAAAATTTCCCAGTGCACTCGCTTGGTGCTGCAAAAGATCCATTGAATCCTCTATTTCAGAACTTGATGACTCCTGAACATCTATGGGCAACACTATAGGGTTATTTAGGAAAAGAATTCTGTGTTTTTTTCCTAAAGGACCTGGCTCAAGTGCAGTGGAACACTGAAAAGCAAAGGTTAGCTGTAGTAGTTGCTTCCACAATTAAGTGGCTATACCCTTATCTTTTGTTATTCACGTTATGACATGAGAATAGCCTGTTTTGAATATTGCTTGTAGATCTCCCCTGAATTTTCTTTGCCCATGCTAGGAGAAGACTAAAACCTTCTATAGGAGCAATGAATTGATAGCTTTTTAAAAAAAATCTCTGTCTTAAGTATATTTTGAGGAGCTCTGTAAATCTTTCTGGGAATGTGATATTTCTTTGTTGTCTCTGTTTGTTTCTCATACCAGGTCAGAAGTGGAAGATAAACAATACATTCCTAGGCCTCTGCTTTCCTTAGGAGTAAGGAAGATGTGTTGAAATAGATACATGTTAGCATGTGGAAAATGGGCATTCTGTATAACCCTTATGTTATAAAAGAGGCCAGTTGCAAGCTGCAGAGATTTGTAAACCTGTGTGCCATCTTAAAGGGGAGGCTTTTTCTGTGATATGTTTGATAACTGTGGAGTAAGTATATAATTATAATCTGGAAATTTTGTCATTCTCATCTAGGACAAGAAGGGTCTGACTGGACTTTCTGGCTGGATTTTTTTTTATTTTTCTTTATGAAAGCCAGAATCAACTAAAGCTTCCCACCCACCTCAACTTTTCAATTCAGTCTTTTAAAAAAAAAAAATCTAGAATCTGTCATGGTACCTGCAGTATGATGAAGGTGTCCATAGCCAGTTTCTTGTTATTATATACTAACAGTTGCTGATTCAAACTGGAAAGTAGTAACATCCATAATAGCTGCTTTCACCTTGCACTTTCAATCTTTCCCTGGGAAGGATTGGTATTCCACTGGTAATGTAATACATAAATTGACAGTTTTCAAATATTTCTGGTTCCTACTGCCTCATAGATCTCATGGGTCTTTGGATTTCTGCATTAATCTGCTCAGTTTTTTTCTAATGCTGTCTTCTCTTGGTTCTTCCTTCAGCTGTTGTATTTCCTGAAGCCTCACATTTTATGCTCCTAATTTGTATAAAATCTCTTTTATGCTATGTGAAAGGGCCTACTCTTGTTCTGCAGTTTCTCCCTAAGAATGAATTGTAATTTCTGTAAAAAATTGCCACAATATAATGCACAGGTGGTAGCTGCCATTCTGACCTGTGAATCTAAAAATTTTCTTAACAGGGTAATTTGTGCTTTACTATTATTGAACTGCTTCAAGAGGTGAGATTATTAGTTCAAATGAGTGTTGTCATGTGATTTATTAATGGTAAAAAGTCAAAATTAAACTGCTTCTCATACCGTTCATAAGTATTTTAATACAAGCATTGGGAATTCTTATATTTACAACCCTGTGACTTTCCATACCACATGGATTTAGTCTACTTTGCTTAAAATTCAGTTCTTTTGCAAAAACTTGGATATCCAATTGCTGTTCTTTTTCTGTTAATGCTGTGCTTTGTATTTCATGCCTGACAATTACCGATGTATTATTCATTTCTTTATTCTTAAGGTATTTGTTACATCCTTAGCAGTTGTCTCCTAACATGTTCCTATTTAAGAGCAGGGTATTTGGATGACCTGAGGATTATCAAAATGTGATTTTGAGCACTAAGCACAATAAATCTCTGCCAATATTGGATCACTGATCCGTAGTTCCTTTGATCTTTTTCACACATACACCACTGGACTGATAATTCTGTATGTTCAGTGTTGTGCTTTTCTGTTGAAGTGTACCACCTTTTCTGCTTAGTTTCTCACCTGAATTTTTCTATTTGTTAATAATTCGTGGTTTTCTTTGTTGTTTTTGTATTATATTCTTCAGCTTTCCCTTCAGCTATGGACTCATGTTCTTCTGAGATACTATTCTTCTCAATGAGAGCTAATGTCTAAATTAAATGAGCCACTGGTTTTAGGTATTGCAGGAAATGTTCTGAGAAAGTTAAAATCTTTTTTTCAATGCATGTTTCTCTCTTAAATAGTAGTTAAGAGCTGCCTACAAGTAGAATCCTCTAGATACAAATCACCTTAGAACTACCTATAGTGACAAGATGTTAGACCCTTAAACTCTATCTTTTTTCAAAGACTATTTTAACTTGTTCTGAAAAGTCCAACTTCTGAGAGTTAAATTCATACCCAAACTGATATTCTAGTACTTTAGTTTAACTGTTTATTGTTCTGTTGTTTCAGTCCTTCTGTATATGACAAAATATATTGTTTCTCTCAGAAACATTTTCTAAAACTTCTTATGGGTAGAGCATAATTGACTTACGAGTAGACCCTTCTCAAATATATACCTTGGACATGTTTTCCTATTCTTCTTTGTATCCAAGACTGATTGAGTATTATAGGTTTCTTGACCAAATTTTTGTCTTGGTTTAAGACAATTTAAAGGGGAACTCTCTTAAATGCGTTCTCCTTTGTTTTCACCAATCCCTTTCCATCAATAAGGAGAAACAAAATACAAGTAGGTATAAGTGAAAAAAATAACGGTTTAGAGCAAATTAACAAGTGAGACTGAAAAAGGCAAAAATAACAGTAAATAACCGCTAGGTAGAAAATTGCAAAATCTCACCAACTCTCCCAGAACAAAGAGAGACCCAAAATGGCAAAAATACCCTTTCCAAGATGGCACCCGCCATGGGTGACCACTGTAGAGAGAGAAAGGGAAAATGGCAGCAGACCCTGCCCCCAAGATGGTGTCTTTGCAGGCCATCATGCGGCCTGGGAGACAAAGGGCAGGGATGGTGGCAAACCCTGGGGAAGGCAGGAGCTTACAGAGTATTTCTGGCGGCACATGAGACGTGCTGGCACCTGTGGGGTCAGCGCCACTGACGATGTTGGTGCTGATGTCTCCGACCTGTGGCTGTGTTGTGGGGAAGAAACCGTCAGCCCTGGCATGAGGTGACTGCACCCCAGCAACCAGCTGGCATTGCAAAGCTCACTCCAAAACAGTTTTTGATTGTGAAATGCAGTTTTTCCAATTGGTTACTATTGCAAGCCCAGGAAAAAACTGCAAACAACCTCCCAAAGTAACCCCACCAAAACAGAGCATCCACTTTCAGCAAATGCTGCCAGCAGTGAGTTTGTTCCCCGCTTCCAAACTCCAACTTAAAAAGGGACTGCAGCAATGCCCCCTTTGCCCTGTGGTTCCAGTTCTGGACACGTTGAATCCTAAAAGAGGCCATAACAATTTTTGGGCATGGATAGATATGGAATATAGTAACATTCTGGGTTACCCATGACAGTC